AAAAAATAATTAAAAGAATATAAAAAAAAATTAAGAATGTTAAAGCCCGGTGCTACGCACCGGGTTAGAGACTAGTAATCAATATATAAACAACTACTTGGCAAATACCGTAATTAATATGTAACGCGAAATAATTATTAAACCTATCAATTATATTACTTATCGTTATAACTTCAATTCATAATAGCTTACTTTGGTGAGAATTGTGTGACATTATTAAATTTTTTTGCTCGGAAAAAAAAATTCTCCCTTTTTCCATATTCTCCGGATTTTATATGTTCATTAAATCAAAAGTTTGATTTTAAGTACACGAAAGTGATTATATAATTATTTATTTATACGCATGGTTGGTAGGCAATTAAATGTTTATTCATGTATCCAAGATCTTTTGTTGTTACACGACTGATAATAAAGCAATTCTCGAACTATTCTTTTACAAACTTACAGTATGTTGAAATTCACAAGCAGATAAAAACCAATATAGTAAATTTGACATAATTTCTACAATATTGCTGAATTGGACTTATGTTTTTCGTTATACCTGGTATTAGCTGTTAGTGCATAACTATGTACGTACGTACGTACCTACATATCAACACGTTTATGTTGGCTTGGTATTTGTCTAGTTCATATTCGGCTTTTAGAAAACTTTGGTTTAGACTATGCCAAGATCTGTATCACAATAGTAAATTTGGAGGTTGCATGTATGCATGATTCAACCGTTCGCCAAAGAAAGAAATTTATTAAGAACAAGTGGCACTTATTTTCGCTAACAGTTAAGATTGGTTCAATTTAAGATTAATATTTTTTTTGAATTTGAAATAATTTAAATTTGATTTACGACAATTTTCGGTAGTGCTCCATTACGGCATTACATAAATAATGATCGTCAGAAAGAAATAACTTATTTGCGGAAAAAACAACCTTCGGCACTTCTTAAAGCTTAAATGTAAACTTGACATTTGATAATTAAAAATTTGTATAATTTAAAATTTAACAATTAAAAATTTTATACCCAAAAAAGTAATCATATTTTACATTATTCTATATTTGGCAATTTTGCATCGATATATTTGGGAATACAAAAATCTTTCCACTTAACTTTTTGTTTAAACGATTATCTTTGAAATTATAGAGTTATTCGAATATTTTGTCATACAAACTATAATATCAATATATTTCATCAAGATATATTTATACAGCAACTCGACTGGAAAAAAAATAAAAAAAATCGAAATTTAGAAATCTAAGACTTATCAATTCTAAATAAAATGAAGTTACTTTTATTCTTCATAACTCTCATTCAAGGTGTCATTCTTATCTCAGGTGACAATTATACAAAAGGTTCAGCTCTTTACACATATCCTAACGCTGCTACTGTTGCTGTTCCATATCCAACCACATTCCAAGAAAATTATAATGGTGACCTTAAATTTTTGGTTTTTGGTGATTGGGGACAGTTAGGAAAACAAACTGGTCAAGCTCAAGTAGCTGCTGGTATGACAACTTGGGCTAATGCTAATTCTACAACATTTATGTTAAATCTTGGAGGTAAGTTTAAAGAAATTGTTTACCTTATTACATTATTGAATTTCATTTATTTAAATTTTTTAATAAATGTTTATTTATCTTCTACTAGATAATTTCTATCAATCAAACAATGCTCCTAAGGGTACTGCATTTAATAATGCAAGTGATTACGAAGGTGTATTCAGTGAAACTGATCCAAAATGGAAAAGTTATTGGTTAGATGTGTATGGTGGCCAATTGGCAAATATAACTTGGTATTCCATAGCAGGAAACCATGATTGGTACAATAATGTCACCGCAGAAGTTGACTATTTCTGGGATATTGATTCGAGATTCTTTCTTCCTGCACTTTATTACACTCGAAAAGTTACATTTGGTAATGGTGTAACCGCCGCCTTTATTCACATAGATACAAATCCATTTTATTATAATTACACTAACTATACTAAAGTTAATAATATGAAATCAAACCTTCAAACTTTTAATTTATACAATGATGCTGGAACTAACGCTACATTGAAATGGCTCGATGATCAATTGACAGCTGTAGATGATTGTGATTGGATTTTCGTTGTCGGTCATCATCCACTTGTTGGCGATTGCCGACTTTATGATCCTAAGGATTATTATGAAATGTATCGACTTGTACCATACCTTGAAAAACATAAAGTATCTGCCTATTTTAATGGTCATACCCATGAACTTGCCGTTTCGGTTGCCAATTCAACTTCTCCTGTTACTTATTTCGGTTCCGGTGCTGGTGGTGCTTCACTTGGTTCTGCTTGTCCTAATCCTACTTGGACTGTTCCTAATACTTTTGGTTTCTTATCTATTTATATCCCGGCTGATGGAAAAACTTTACAATACCAATATGTTAGTGCAAATACTACCAACGCTCCTACTCAAGTCCTTTATTCGGGTACTGTTAATGCTCGTACAACTCAAGGAACTCAAGGAAATGATAACTCACAAGGTAACGAAAATGGTAACAGAAGTGGTAACGGAAATAATGGTAACGGTAACGGTCAAAGGAAACGATACTGGCAACGATATGAATGATTATGCTCAAGGAAATTAAAATGAATAATGTTAATATTAATAAATATATAGTTAAAATATATTATTCGCTTAATTTTTATTCTTTGAGATATTTATTTACATTCTATAATATTTCTTATAACGAATTACAATTATTTTATTTAATGATTTATATCTTTAAATTTTTTATAAATTCTACTAGTTCTATAATATTTCTCTAGAATCTGCAACAATGTATTTTATTACATCTTTAAATTTTTATAATTCTACTAGTACTATAATATTTCTCTAGAATCTGCAAAATTCTACTAGCTCTATAAGAATCAACAACAATGTATTTTATTTAATGATTTATATCTTTAAATTTTTTATAAATTCTACTAGTTCTATAATATTTCTCTATAATCAGCAACAATGTATTTTATTTAATGATTTATATCTTTAAGTAAATTTTTTATAAAGTCTATTAGTTCTAAAATTTTATATAATGTTTATATTACTTTATTAAAATAAGTGTTTTGCTTTGATATTACCTAATTTTGTTGTCTTAAAATAACTTAAATAATTATTATTTAGCATGTATATAGTCGTCTTCTCTATAATCACGCGGTTTGTTTTACATAAAGAAAATGTGATTATAAAATATTAATAGTAATGTGATTATATAAAGTTTTTTTTTGATAAATAATTTTTCAAAAAATGATGCTTATTAAGAGGATGTGACTATAGGAGGTTACTGTAGAGGAGGACGACTGTATTACTATAGTTATTTACATTTAATTATATATATTATCAAACAGTCGTATTGTATGATATTGTGGTGCTGCCACAATGATGCATGTTACCAAAACTGTTCATAATGTTGACTAGTAATATTGATAAATAAAAAATATATTTTAAAAATAAATCGTATTCTTAATTTTAATAAATTAATAGATAGAATTGACTTATGCTGAATCTAGTATATTTTATTAAGTTTTAGCACTTTTAAAACTAGATTATCTGTTAATTTTTAAATTAATTACTTTATCAAACCTTTTTTAAGATAGTTTAACCTATACTTTTGAATAAAAAAAATTGATAACTAGATATTTTGATATTTAATAATTTTTTTTTTGCTTGAAAATTTAGTTTAATCTAATTTTATATTTAATTTTTTTTTTACTTTAAAAAACTTAGTTTAATTTAATTTTTATTTAAATTTTTTTTACTTTGAAAAATTTAGTTTAATCTAATTTATAGAATATTTACTAGTTATATTTTAATTATAAATTTTTTTATTAAGTAAATTTATTTAAATTTTTAATAAGTTATAAATATAAGTTTGCTAATTTTAATTATAAATTTCTTTAAAATTAGTTTAATATATAAAAAATAATTTAAATACAAGGTTCTTATTAATAAATATTATATAAATAGTATTATTAAATTTATATTGACTTATATAGGAGGGAGGTGTATCTCTATAGTAAAAAATATCATATAAAAAACATTACTACTCCAACTGTATTTTGCAAATTTAATATTATAATTTTAATACTATTTATTGGTTTTGATAAAATAAATCAAGCTATCAAAAATTATTAAAGACAGTTATCTAAAAAATTCTTTATATAATTGTGTTACAAGCAATTTTTTGTAAAAATTTTGTAATTTTGTAAATTAATTTTAATAATTTAGCATTATTTAATTTATGAATTAAATAGTACCAAAATTATCAAATTGGATTACTAAACAAAAATAAATTTATAATTTTTAATTTTTTTTATTTTATTAAAAAAAATTATATTTTTTAATTTTCTTTTCTATTCTATTTTATTAAAACTATTATAAACATTTTAAATTATTTAATATTTATTATTCAACCCAAATTTATTTATAAAATTTAACCTGTATTTATAATTGTGTTTAAATTTGAGTTGAGTTTGTTATTTATAAATTTAGTATAAGTTTAATTTGAAATTTAAAAAAATTATATTTGAATTTGAATTGAGGTTGATATTTGCTAAACTTAACCCAATTTTAAACCAAACTTTAAAACTTGATTATAAAGTTTTTGTAATAATTTTAAATTTGTTAAAATTATACAAAATTTTTGATTTTAATTAATTATATTATTATAACTATTATATAATTTTTGTAAATGAAAAATTAATACATAATTTTTAAATATATATTTTTTTTAGAAAATATTAAATCAATATTAGTGTATAAAAAACTTGAGTTTCAACTTTTTGAATCTATTAATTTACAGTATTGGCATTAAATACAAATTTTATTTTTAGAAAAATATATAAATCTAACAGGTATCTAACCTTTAGACTTTGTAGTAACTTATCATGAAATTTAAAATTATACTAGAGTAAAAATAGATTTTATAATTAAGTACAATACTGTAAATTGACAGATTCAAAAACTTAAAACAAGTTTTTGTTTGATTTTGCTAAATACTAACCAACATTAATGTTTTTACTACAATTAAATCAAAAACTATTCTACAATTTTTACCATGAATTTAAAAATAACTTATTTAATAAAGTTTTCTTTAATATGTAATACGTATTTAAAAAAAATGGTAATTAATATATATATATAATAATTTAAATATTCTCTATACTTAAAATACTTCGAATCTATTATATTAGAATATTACACAAATTATAATTTATTACATAATTCTAAAAATTTTGAACTGCATTTTAATGCTGAAAAATTAAAATAATTACAAATAAGGGCCTAAGATAAAATAATTACATATAAAGGCACAAACTTTGAAAAATTTTACAATTAAGGGCCAAAATAACTTTGCGCTATGAAAATAGTGTTTTCGAACGTTATAACTATATATATTGATTTATACATTTTATGCTTTATCTTTTGCTTAATCAATTTTCTTTTAACCAAGAAACAACTCGACTAGGTCAAATACGATATATATACTGATATTATACCAAACTAGTGAATCAATATTTTGTGTAAGTTACTATGCATTAATAGAAAATATTTAGAACTGAAGAAGTTCATTTTTATTTGTAGTAGAAGTTAAAATTCGGTAAAAGTGGTTATAATTTTACATGAAATGTGCTAAATAATAAATGCAATACTGATTAAATGGTAATACATTTAAATGTCAAATGACAATTACATTTTATACGTATAATTTTATATGCTAAAAATTTGCAACCTTATAAATTTGGACTTCTTATATGTAATTATTTCACTTTGGGCCCTTATTTGTAATTATTTCATTTTTCGGGCCTTTATATGTAAATTCCCCTTAATTTTAGCATCATGTTCTAAGTAAAACTTGTTTAAAATTCAAATTCAAACTAGCTTGCAAACTTCAAACCAAACTCAAACTTGACAATAAATTTTGAGTTTGAATTAATATTGTACCTGACATATATATATATTAAATTTGATTTGAGTCTGGTTTATATAGGTACTATTAAAGATATAGGCACAAAACGCAAGGCACTAGCAAAAGCATGACATAAAATGCTATGCACAATATGCCAGGCACAACTAAATAATAAATACCAAATTTATGTGCCGCAGTGCTAGTAAATGACTAGGTCATTTTGTTTTTCTTAAATGACCTTGTCATTATGTACATGACCTATAATCATCGGTCACATTACGAATGATTCAGCACGTAACAGAGACAACCATTTCTAAAGTATATAAATATGACTGTAAGTTTATGACCAATCAGAAGAAGGTTTGCCTACGTCACATTAGGTAATATCAGGTCACATAAGTTACATCAGGTCAGATGACTATATGACCTGTGCCTTTGTCATTTAATCATTTAGGTAATTTCCAGTCATATTCCAACACTGTTGTGCCGTGCCTTTTGTCGGGCACAGCACGAGTCCGGATTGCAGACCCCTAATCCTAATCCATAAAAAAAATTACAAAAACAAAGCTTTTGCTTATTCATGCAAATCAAAATGCTATTTCCTAATCCATAAAAAAATTTACAAAAATAAGCTTTTGTTCATTCTTGCAATCAAAGTGCTATTAAACCAATACGTAACTCCCGCAAGTTAAACTCAAATAAGAATTTACACTCACAACAATAATAGATGACAATAACAAAATCTTAATAAATAATACTATATACCATGACATTCGACCACAACAATAAACCTAAATAAATCCCCAACAAAATAACTAATCAATTTCATTTATTAATTTATTTGAAAGCAAAATGAGAGATGAAAAAATTAACATATACATCATACATAAAATATTAATAATATTAAAGACAATTACTAATTAATATCATTTTCATATCGTTGCTCTAAATCGCAATTTTTGTTTTTACCCAAATTATACCGTTTATGCCAAATCATATTACTATCATTAAGATCTATAAATTTTGCATTACAATAATTTGAAATTATTTTGCCAAGTAATATATCTTCACCAATGGAATTTTCAGAAATAAGACTATTACGTAAGAAACATTCAACTAATTCTCTTCCTAACATATAAAAGACACCTCTCATAAAAATAAATTTATAATTTACAAGATCATAATTCGTTAGTAAACCTGCATAGTTATTTGGCTCAAAATTGTTAACAAGATCATAATATAAATATGGATGAATAAGTCCATCATCATCAAGTTTAGAAAATGTCTTGGCATTCGGAAATAGTGATAATAATTGTGTAAGTGTATCAATTAGTTTAAGATGTAATGTATTATAACTATATTCATTTTGTAATTCTAGACACGGTGACACTATACATTTCCACCTTTGATCGCCTATAAAGATAATATTATTAGAGTATGATAGCATCTTATAAAATGTGTCATCTGTTCTGTTTTTTTGAAATACAAATATTACATTTGTTTGTTCAAAGTTTATCTGTAAATTCTCTTGTAAAGGAACTGTATATGGTACAGTATTGTAAAAGAGTATCATGTGTAGTACGAAGTTTGAGAATGTAAAGCCCAATATAAAACTAATAATACTGATTTTTAAATAACGTCGATATTTCGTTATAGCCATATTTTGAATATATCTATTTTTTTTAAAGTCCGAAAATTTTCGAAAATGGATTTATATACTAATAATTTGCTGTTTCACAATTCTCAATTATAGCTGCTAGCGATGCGGCGTAACAAACAATGCTAATTATGTTTGTTATTTAATATTCTCTTGGCAGGTTTGTGAAATTAATTCTTTTATTCAAATCTTACTCCTAAAAATATCTTGACTTATATTAAACAAATAATTTTAAGGGGGTTTTAATTAATATAGTAAATTTTAATTATTAAATCTGCAAAAAGATACATACTCTAATTACTTGAGGTAGAACGCAGAGCGTTTGAGTAACATTACTATTGTTACACACTTGATACGCAAATTTTTACTTTACCGTTGTTATGATGTAGATTAGTAGTGATAATCACGAGTTATAATTTAGTTAGTATGAAATCGCATTCATTCAAGATCTATTAATATGAATGTAAATGCTTAAATGATTAATCATAATCATGTATTTAAGGATGCCCTTTAGACCTTAATAAAGAGGGAGGACTACGAGATGTCTCAAAGCCCTTCATTAATAACATCCACATGCTTTTTGTATATAAATCTTTCCCCGTTGCTATCAAAGCTAAATCAGGCCTCATAGCCTAACTGCTCTCCCACTTGATAGTAACACCGTTGTTACGATGTAAATACTTATAGTATGAAAGTGCATTTATTCAAGATCTGTTAATATGAATGTAAATTAGAGCTGGCCTTAGTTTCGGGAAGGTTCTAATCCGAACCTTGTTTCGGATTTTTTTAAAAAAATCGAAACCCAAACCCTACTTGACCAATCAGTATTTGTGCTCCGAACGGATCGGGTCGGGTTATGAGCCAACCCGAACCCGACCCGAAATTTCGGGTCGGGTCGGGTTAAAAATTTTCGGGTTAGTATTAGAGCTTCAACCCGAACCGAACCGACCCGAAATTTTAGGCCTAATATATTAAAATTTTTTTAAAAATGAATTCAAATAGCCTTTTTTGCTCTTAAACGTTTAATAATTCAGATCATCGAAGTTGGCTAATCAAATCTAAGCGCGGTATGTTTACAAACTCAGCAGGCTACTACGGTAAGAATCGTGCATTGCATATTCAGAATCAATGAAAACTTTTTTATTATTATCCTATGGATTCATGGAATTAATATAAAAACTTTAATGATTTGCTGTCAAGAATTTAGGCGATTATTAAAACAAAGTCAGCAGTTAAGTTTTTCCAAACTTTGATCGATTAGATAAAGTAATTGC